CAGACGTGAAGGGGTCTGGAGAAGGCGTGGAGAATGCGATGCTGCACGTAACATCGTTCAGCATGAACAGTTTGGTGCTATGGTCCATGATGGTCTGGGAAGGGATATCCATAGGCAACATCACCCTAACTGCCAGAAGGTGTGAGGATGAAAGCCTTGGACCCACAGTCAAACCCTACACTGGAGCAGTGGGTCCAGGGTTCCTCCTGGTGCACGACAACGCTTGGAGGATAAAGGAATTGATAACATTGACTGTCCCTTAACGCTCGCCTGACCTAAATCCAATAGAAAACCTCTGGGTCTTCATGTTTAGGGTCATCCAATCACTCATGATCTGGGAAGAGATCCCAGAGGACATCATCCATCGCCTCATTAACAGCATGCATACAAGCGCACAGGGGACAAGTACCTTTTTAAGTTGCTGCAATGAAATTTTTGCAAAATGGACCAGTCTGCTGCATCAGTTTTTCACTGATTTTCAGTGCGTCTTTGAATTCAGGGCTCTGCAGGTTAATAATTTTAAGTTCTATAAAATGATGTAGCAGTTTTACCCAGTCCATATCAGTGCAGATATCTAGCATAATTTGTTCCCCCATTGCAGTCTCATGTGTTTCCAAAGTGTTCCTTTAATTTGTTTGAGTAGTATATAAATAAATTCTGCAAATGACGACGAAATGAAAAAATACAGTTTATGGTTCACCTTTTTCTCTAAATCCTCTAGTCATCCAACACTTTCTCCACTCTCCAAGTTTGTAAAGCAGTTTTTTTCCACACTGCTGTTGTGCATTTAGAGTACCGCACAAATGAAACTGATCCAATGTCATTAAACCATATTACAAATGTGCAACGCGTCTTCCTCACAATAAGGAGCAGGTCTAAGATCGGTGTGGAAATGCTGCTTTTTAAACACTAAGCAGGTATCTTGGGAATAAGAACAGTAATTCTGAGCACTCGCCTCTTCCCCCGAATATGAACCGCTTCATATGTCAGAACGCAACATAGATAAAACTGCTCCATTTCACCCTCTGTTCGATCCCCTCGTGGCTTCGCTCAGACCAGATTGCCTCTGAAATAAAACAGATGGTACGCGCTCGGTGGGAAACAGACTAAAAATTACGCCGCCCTTACAGTGCACATTTGGAGGACCTGTGTTTGTGTGTTTGATTCAGTAAATACTAGTTTTCAGAATATTTGGACAGATTCAGTAGGAAGTTTGAGCGTCTGCTTCCAATGCTGCTTGGCACAGACGTGAGGAGATTCGAGGGAGGAGGACTGGCTGCCAGTGTTTGGAACAGAGAGCAAATTTAGGCCATTATGACATTAAATGAAATATTCAGCTCCGTGTTATTTCACGCTGTGTCTCCATGTGTTTCGCTGTCATTTGCTCAAACTATTTACTGCAGTTTTGGATAAAGTCTTCTGCTCTGAAATGCTGTCACGTTTTTTTTTCCCAGTCGCTTGAACAAAAAGCAAATTCAATTTGATGGCTGTCGATTCGAGAGCAGACTCCACATAAGCCAAGCCGCACAAGGCCAAAAAGGGGCCACATGTTTGTTGATATGGCCAGAACAAACTGAGAATTTGAAATTGAGATCTGTCCAAGTCAAGTATTACCTTCTTGATTTTTAAATATTGAGCATTGGAGCTACATGACTACAGGTAGATAGACTGGGAGCCATTTCTGCTGTTTGGTGTCTGGGTCTTGGCTGCAGACCCAGCTCTCTTCAGCAGGAGAAAATGCATGAGCACTGGAAGTGGTCCACAGGTGCGCAAAACAAAGATGATGTTGAATTAAACCAAACGTCCTTTTTAAACATAACGAATGCAGTCACCAAAGTTTAGGGTATCTTATTGCATCACTGGGGGTTTTGGCGTCACATCTAGACCTCTGAAAGGACTCACCATGGCGGCGTACTGAGCCTGAGCAACCTGCTGCTGATACATCATCTGCTGCTGCTGCTGCTGCTGTTGGAGCATGGCCTGTTGTTGCTGCTGCTGAAGCATGGCCTGTTGCTGCTGCTGTTGTTGGAGCATGGCCTGTTGCTGCTGCTGCTGAAGCGACTGCTGCACAGCCTGTTGGTACTGAAGTCAAAATTTAAAAAAAAAAGTTTGGAAAACATTGCCTCCAAGGGATGGCTTAAAAATGACTGAGGCGTAATAACTGGGATCATGGTGTGACGTACCTGGAGGTATTGGAGTTGCTGTGCATTTGCATGTTGTTGCTGCACTGCCTGGTGGTGGTGATGCTGTTGTAGCTGCTGCAGACGCAAATCACCAGGTTGTAGCTGCTGCAGGACTCTGTGTTGTTGACTGCTGGCCTGTGGCTGAGGCTGTTGCTGAGGCTGAGACTGTATGGATGGTTGCCCAGAGCCAGGAGTGGGAGCTGAGAGGTACAGATGAACAGTGTTTGTTCTTTAGACTCCAGAAAAGGAAATAACAAGTAAATCTAAATTCAGGATATCGAGGGGTTTATATATTCAGATATCACATGGTGACGAGAGCTGAGCCGGTTGCTGATTTACCAGTCAATCAACATTCTGCCTACATCCACAGATGAGGATGCAGGGAATCAGCAAAACATTGCAGCATTATCCTCATTTGGAAGATATTTAGTTCGGGAATTTATGCATAAATAAATAATCATAAATAATTTTCAGTAATTTTAAGAAATGTGTTTTGGTTTGTTTGAAAATAATATGTGTATATAGTCTGTACTGTATTTAGTCAAAATAAAGACTGTTAACAAACTCCTTTAAGACATTGTCTTAGATATAAAAATCCATCCTACTGATGTTTAACAAACCTTTCTGGCCGTTGCTGACGGGTGCTGAAGGCACGGTCATCTTGACAGGGGTGACAGTGTTAGTGAGAGGCAGGACATTACTGTTTGCAGCCTTTGGCCGCTGTCTGGGAGCTATCGATGTTTCCGTTGGGCCCACAGAGTCTGTGATCCTGTAAAGGAGGAAGCAAAAGTGTCCCTCAGCATGTGCAGGAAGAACTGTACTATGTGCGTTTGTAACAGCTGACAGGCTGTGATCTCAAGAGGTAAAAAAAAAAACCCCAAAACAATAAAATAAAAAATGAATACATAAGATTAAAGTAATCCATCATTTCCATTTTCAGTTTATACATAATAAAACTGTCGGTGAGCAGCACCTGGCTTTCGTCAAGCTCTTCTTAGCAGCGACCTCGCTGGCTGTCAGAGGCTCAGGGAGTGACGTCGGGATGGGAGAGTTCTAGATAAACAGCAGGGAGGTTCATTTTAATAAGCCAGTGAGGAAAGGCTAAAGACATGCTGACTGTTTTATGCCTGTGACTTACGAAGAGATTTGGCACTGGACAGTCTTTTCCAGCTAATTTGAAGGCAAAATAGGACACTTGGTAAATGTCAGGTCTCTTCTCCTGGTCTGGTTCGAGCATATATCCTGAAGAAGATTAAAGATCACTTTATACACTACAAGAGCAAGATTTCTACAGTTAATTAAAAGGAAGTTTCAGTTACTTGAAACAAAAGTAAAAACTAGACAGTTGAAAAAAGAAACTATTTGAAACCACTTTCATGCATTTGTTCACTGACCTTTTGCTTGTTGGGCAATTGTGTAAACCACTACACTATTGAGCTGCTGTAATATCTTGTCCTCTTGATTGTTTTGCTTTGATGTAGTTACTTATCTAAGGTGGAAAGTTTTGTTTTTTTTTGTTTTTGCTTTGCTTTCTTTTATTCTTTGCTTTGAGCCCTGTGTACAGGAGCTGCATGCAAAAAGATCTTTTGTTAAAAGGGTTGGCGTAATAAGCAAATGCTTCAGCCAATACCTTTTGATTAGCCTTGTCTCATGCTTTCTTGCTTTGTGGTAGATCTTTGTTCTGTATTCATTGAGATATTTGAATGCTAATCAATAAAATCAAAATCAGATCAAATATCTTGTCTAAATTCCTAATTCTTGACCCTGACATTATAATAATTAAGAGAAATCTTTTCTTTTAAAACTAAATATTTTTAATCCAGAACAATGAAACAGTAACCAGCAAACCCACTCTGCAAAGTAAGTAAAGCTAAACTAAAAATATATTTATATAAAAAAATACATTTAAAAAAGTTTAACAATATCAACTCTGGTGCAGAACAACATGTATCGTCTTCCCTTGACCACTTGGTGGAGCTGTTTGTCAAGTGTTTTAAAAAAGGAAGCTCCGCCACAGGATACATTTGGGGAAGTGAAATAACTTGAGCACAAACAAAGCTGTCGTGACTGACGTCCTCGACTGGTTCAAACAGGCTTGAGTTGGGTAAATGCATTAAAAAATTTTTTCAAAAAGACTGAAAGAGATCACTCTGTGGGTGACAACAGCGGAGAAGAAACCACACTAAAAAGGTGGAAACTGTAACATGGCTTTGTATTTCTTATATTTATCTGTGAAATTACATCAAAGTAACATTTGTTACGGTCAAGCCTAAAGTCAAGCTCCATAATGCGGGAGACGATTTCCAATTTAAACAAAAATTTTTCACATCTTTGATAATCTGCAAATGTGGAAGACAAATTGCAGACAGGATATTTTGCTAGTTGACAAAATGATGTTAAATAACTACTGAATCAAAAAAGACACCACAGGAAAAAACAAAACAAACGAAAGTTATTCTGGATAGTTATTAATAACTACAAAGCTGTATTCAGCTGCTCCGTGTGACACGTTAAACTCCAACTTACTGATTAAACAGTGCAACTTGAAGGAGAATTTGGAGTTATCTGGAACGATAAAGGTTCCATCACATATGGCGACTTGACTCTCCCCAAATGGAAGTGCGAAGAAACACAGCTTGTACAACAAGCATCCAAGTGCCTGTGGAGAAAACAAACAATCTGGTCAAACACCTGTATCCAGTTACTTTGAGGATGGGCACTGCTAGAGACTCAGCCCCAGTGCCAACATCATACCCAAGTTTTGTTAGTGTGTATTCTATCGCAAAACCCAAAACACCCAGCGTGAGGAGTGTATCCATGTCTTCAAATCAAACACCACCTCATTTTCTCCCAAAATAAAGCTGCTAATATTAATAATAATAATAATAACAATATCTCATTAAACATCAGATGCCATGGAAGTTTTTGATGCAGACACATTTTGTTTATAACTGAAGAAATACTAGGTTTGTTCAACTAAGCCTGAACAGCCCAAAGGATTTAAAGCAAAACTCTGTAAGTACCCAAAATACCCATCAGAACCTGGGTGCTTTCCTCCTTGCCCTGAGACAATGACGATACAAACAACAGTGATAAACTTTAAATGCATGTTTCCTGAATTACTGAACCACTGAAATTATCTTTAAGATGTTTTCAGTAATTTGGTGGCATGTGATAAAATTGACTGATAGGCTTAAATAGAAAACAAATCAAGATTACCATTAAAAGATACAACAAGTCTTTGTAAGAAGTCTAAGATGATGTGTGCAGGAGAATTATCAATGGTGCTCATTGGTATTCATCACATTAACATAAAAGAAAAATGGGATTCTACAATCACTGAATAGATCAAGAAACCATGCCCTGGCCCTCGAAATGATGCTTCCTTTCTCTTCCTACAGAGGTGCACAGGTCCTTATTAGAAAAAAATATTTTTATTCATGTCACACGCTAAAAAACTGTGTTTACAAAATCAGGCCCAGAGTCTGCTCTGCAGGCAGTATGGCTGTCCAAACAAACCGGCATGCAAAAGTGCTCTGAACTAAAACATATATTCAGCTTAAGCTACATTTGGCTCCAGTATCCAGCATATCTGCTGACCATGCAGTTTGGGATGAAAGAGACTTTGGAATTAGCCGCCCCATTAGGGAACGGTTTCCCTTTAAGCGCTCCATCTGATGATAGTCTGCACCACTCTCCTTAACAAGCTAATCCAGGCTGATGCTCTTAATCTAAGTGAGCCAGCGTGACCACCAAACAACCCCACAAAGTAGGAATAAACGCTTAAGAAATGTGTGTGAGGCACAGCTCACAGTCAGGCACATGGCTCAAAAACAGGAAGTGACAGCACATGGGGTAGTTGACAGGAAGCTGGGGGTTTTTTGGACTCCTACAGTAGGCATTTTCCTTCGACCAGAGACTGAATAGCTCTAACAGACTGAAGCCACTTTCATCAGGCTGTGCTGAGCCGTGCTGTCTTACTACTGACTGACTATGTATTCATAGAGGAAGCATTAAAGAAGTATTTTATAGACATGCAAAGTAAAAGGATCAACCTTAATCTCATCATCTGGAGCAGCTTGATAATGGCAAAAATCATCATCACTTTATTACTGATGTACGATATTGATGCATAAATCTGACATTTGGATCAGATATCAGTCCGAGCCCGACTCAATAACCCTGATCAGGTATCTGTGACAATGGGCTCATCTACAGGCCCATCTGTTCGATTCAGTTTAATGACACTTTGCATTTATGCGTTGGCAACAACTAGCAAGAGATCTAACGTAGCATGGAGTAGGCAAATGGCATGGGGTCAAGAGTGTGGGGCCTTTAATTCTTTGCGAAAGTTTCTGATTTGACTAGATTTGACACCACAGCTTCTTCCAATCTACTAATAATTTTAGGTCTTTTTTAAATGTTTCAAACAAAATAAGATGCTTACTAAACATTCTAAGAAATAAAACACTAGTTGTCCCATTATCAGCCACATCCTTGGCTGTTTTACGTCATTAACGTACACAATTCCTTAATAATGGCTCCTGTCCAAACACTTGTTTCTGCTTCTCTGCCTCTTTCTTTCAAAACAGCAGAGGCCCATTTCACACAAGCCTATCAAGGCCCTTAACTGAGTCTAATAATCACATATGGACCCAAAATGAAAAAGGACAGGGAGCAGAGAGGGAAGAACAACTAGCTTTGTTGTGACTGATGTTGCTCAATGTTTTATGAAGGAAAAACGCTGCTGGAGAGCTGGTGGACGCAAATAGCTGGGAGAGAAAGAGAGAGGAGGAACCTGTCGGGGCAGAGTACTGCCAGGCCAAACCAGCCCTGCAGCCTGCGTAACACACACAGACAGCATACATACAAACAGGGAAGGACCTTACCCATATATCAGCCTTAGTGGTGATGGCTTTTCCTGCATACAAGTTAATCATCTCCGGCGAGCGGTAAGAAAGGGTTGTGTACCTGTACAACACAACAACAGGAAGTAATAGATGAAAGTATGTCCTGTTCAAAAATCCAGCACTGCTAGGAACTTTCTCCCCGTCATTCACTGCTGATTTACATTTCTACTCTAACACATTTTCAGTATTTGTAGTTTTGTTTTTAAATGAAGTGTATTTCAGTCACTCAACTGATGTTTAAAATGAGTGATTACAACAGAATACAGTTAAGAGCTTGGCAACTAGGCTCTGTATTACACATAGAAAATTGGGGAGTGATTACTAAACATCCCCTGGAGCCTACAGGTGGATGCTGGGGTGGAGGAGGTGCTGGAACATATCCAGGGACGACTCCTGTGTGAAATCTGCAGCTTGAATAGGTGTGTTTGGTACAGTTTGAGCTGGCTTTGCCTGATGTTTTTGCTGGCTGTTGAAGTCACAAAATTAAAATACCTAATATATTTCAGGTCATCATTAATCTGAAATAACTGAAAAGACTCTTTGTATGTTTTCTGATTTTGCTACTAGGCAACAGGCAAGTATACATCTATTCGTTTTTGACGTCCTCAAACGCGCCACTATGTGTAGTAGCTAGAATCAAACTATTTTATTCAGCTGTTTTAACACTGACCAGGTAGGACAGGAGAGGATTTTTAGGTTTCATAACAACATGTTTGGCTCTAACAGTGAACCAAAACAAAAGATGTAGCTAAGCAGCTAAACAACAGGCTCAATAAGGGGCCTGATAAAGTCAAGGGGAACTTCACATTCAAATGACCTTTTCTCTTCCGATTCATCGCTACAAACAACTTCTAGTGCAAAGCAAAAGCACATCACTGCAAAAGAAGGGTGTGCTTGATTTCACTCACACACACACACTTTCATATCTCAGTGAGGACATCTAATTGACATGCTTTCCCTAGCCACTTGCTGCAACCATCAAAAATGAATGTCTAACCTTAACCATAGCCTAACTGTAACCCTGACGCTAAAACCACATTTTGAGCCTCAAAAATGCCTACAAACTCGTGGGGACCAGGATTTGTCCCCATACGTGACTGTTGGTCCCCACAAGTATAGTAGCACTCCAATTTTCTGTACTCAAAGATATCCAAACATAGTACACACAAACCAGTTTTTTGTTTTTCTAGTCACTGGCCAAAGTTATAATTCAAATTCAGATTCAAACTTTTATGTGTATCGTTTTGCACTTTCACATAAATACAAGCTTTCAATGCTTTCATGACTTTGTCTGCTTCTGTTTATTGATGCACAGAAAAAAAAAAGCGACTGCAGGTCAGAGAGTTCCTCATTTACTGCAATAGAAGAACAAACATTTCATTTAGTTTCCTCTTCAGAATCTGTCTGATAACATTCAAAACAGCTGGTTGCATTTTGAGCAAGTCCGGCTTTGAAATGTTAGATGGAAAACCAGCTGAGTCAGCGTAGATCTAAAGCCCATTTCTGTATGACTGGGCAGATTTACACATCGTCCTATTACTGATAACAACCACACATACTGCACTTTATTGCAGCTATAAACGGGTGAAATTGAACAGGCCAACGCTGAACAGGCTTCTGTGATTTGACACTATACAAACAGAATCACATCTAAGACTGCAGATCCCTGCCATACAAATGTGCATGGGGCAGGAAGTGCCTACATAATCACATCCCATTACTGGGCATAATCTCTGATATCTGTTGGTTCTGGGCCATTACGCAGCCACCTACCACAGACGGCAGCACCTCTCTCTGCACTGGAAATTATTTAAAAAAAAAAAACTAAGAAAGATAACAAGGCAAAAACTGCCAAGAAACTGCCACACAGTGCACACTGACCTTGTTTATGTGCCTCACATTTCCTCTGAATTCAAGATTTGATTATCAGCAACGATCTTTAAAGGCTCGTAAACACGCATGCCCACACGCACACAGTCTACATCCAACAATGTTTTCACTTTGTGACTTATATTAGTTTGTTTTTTTCCTCCATATTTTTTTTTTTTAACCAAAACAACAAATATAAGGCCATGATTCTCTTTTATGGTTATTCGTTTTGTTTTTATCATCATCATCATCTATGATAGATAATGACATTTAAGCATTTTTACATTTTACTCTTGTTATACTTAATGCTGCCCATCTTAGCCCGGGACATTTTCTCACAGAATAGATTCCTTAATCTCATCAGTTTTACTACAAGAAAAATTATTATTAACAATAAAAAGTAATTAATTTGAATCCACCAGCCACAAAAACAAACTGTCATGAACATATTAACAAGTATTATATTCCACTCAGTCTACCTCAGTGTGAAGCAGTCCCTGATTATTCATCAGACCAATCGTATTGTTTCATATCGACTCAGAAAAAGAAAATATTTGATTTTTTAAAATGGCAAAAGAAAAGAAAAAGTCCTAATATAGAGACTTTATGGGGTTGCTGGTGGCATTTAACAGCTCTTCCCTTACAGGACACATTTTTAAAAACATTGACAAACATCAAACAACTGGCTATGTTCAGGCCCTAAAAACCCTTACTTCTTAATCTCGTCCTCCACAGCAGCCACGCCGTCCTTCTGTGGCAGTAAAACTCTGTGAGTGGCGCTGCCAAAGTCGCACAGCACATAATTTCCTTGGTCATTCAGCAGGATATTCTCAACCTGGCAAAAAAGAAACACAGCAGGGTTTGGAATGTTTTCAGGAGAAAAATGACATAATGGAAATAAAAACCATTGGAAAAATTAATGAAAACCCTACACAGCACAGCACAGATGCACCTAGCGAGGGGGTGAAAACAACAGCGGAAGAAGACAATAATTCTAATGTGTTAGTGTGCACAGGTAAGTAGAAGTCTAATGTTTTCAGAGCCTCTCAGCTGCAGTCTTAGTACAACGTTTAATGTTTTAATTTCATAATTTGTCACTCCTCACTTTGACGGTTTATACCTCACTTATGGATGCTTTAGATTTCAACTGCTGGCTTTTGCTGAACATAGCTTTCAGGTCTGGTCCAAATGTTGGTAAATCATAACTAATGAGGGGCTGTTTTTTGAAGTCATCAAATCTTATCTGCAATTACACAGTCCAACCATTCGTTAATACGCTATACCCAAGTCATACTTTTCCACATTGGGGAGAGCACACCGTTCCCCAGGTGTAAACACAAAGCCACTGCCTTAGTGACACACTAAACACAACAACACCTCACTGGCCATTGTTTGCATGTGGTCTGGAACAATGCATCCTAAAAGACATCAGAAATGTCGAGATGGTCAAGGTCAAGAGGAAAATGAAGAAGACAAAGAAGGCCAAGAGGACAACCAAGACAATTCGCTTCTGACGCAGTTTGTGCAGCTGTTGTCCAAAATGTTTTAACCATGAAAGAAGCTGGAATGAGGTTAACACCAATAATTTCACATTTTTAATGTGTTTAGAGAGTCATCATGTGACCTAAAAAAAAAACCCCCATAAGCCTCAGGTCTTAAAGGTATGAGTTTTAGAGTCAAAAACAAAGACTGACAGTTCATATCTGTTTTTCTTATACAGACTTTCATTCCTCTTCCCTTCAGTACATATCTCCACCTCTCCAGGATCACTTGGACGCGCAGATCGCAACGCTGTGTGTAAACAGTCTATAGAGAAACCAATCTGCCACTGCAAACAGCGAGAGGCTCAGAGCTGATCCCTGATGCAATCAGACCCCCAACCTTGAACCCAACAGTCACTCCTGATGCACACCTCACCACTGTCTCGCTGTCTCATACTTATCTCCTGCACCACTCGCACACATCACCACTCCCGACTTCCTAAATGCACCACAGCTCCTGTTTTGGGACCCTCATGTCCTTCCTCTAGATCCAAGTGTAACTCCCTCTGGGATTCTCAATCAGCACCATCGAAGCAAATATCACATTATGACTGCTCAGTATGAAGTCATAAAGGTGCTTCCCTGACCCTCACCTCTCTCCTTAACCTAGCTTCAACAACTCTCTCCTGTAACTTCATCAGCCTTTTTTTCTTTTCTTAAATCTGTAGGTTTTAAAAGCTCTGCACATCACCCTTGTTCTTGAAACTTTCTACCAGCACACTTCTTGTCCATTCCTCAAGCATCTTCTCACAGTCCTGGACTGTGAGATGCACTGCAGTAAACTTAAGCACAGTGGGTCCCAAATTTCTTATACCTCCTGAGTACAATAGCTTTTTTTTTTTTCTTTCTCTCGTGGACAATAAAATATTTGAACAGTTTAATACTATGGTTAGTTTTTAATAAACAATTGGATGTAATTTTGAAAAGATCTCATTAGTGTGTGTTTAATGAAAAACCTTAAAAACACAGACACTGCTTCCTGGCACTCTGAATTTATTTGGAAAGTCAGACTGGTATGAAGTATTCCACTAAAATCACATCAGCTGTGATAGACAGATGAGCAAACAACCAAACGGTGGCTCGTCGACTCCTATTACATTATACAGAGATTCCATCCTCACAAAACCTGATCTAACACTGTGATGTTTCAGCTGAACTGAGCAAGCCAGCTTTGTGTGGGTTTAATGCCTCATTTTTCAGTTAATATTTCTACCTTCTGAGGCAGAAAGAAATGAAAAGCAACCAGGAATAAGATTTTAAAATTAAACATCTGAAAGGAGGAAACCAGTGATGTGTTCGTGGGAGATGTGGCAGAAAAGATGAGACCAAAAAGACTTTAAACTGTCCAAGGAAAACCTGAGCTAATGAAAGAAACAGTGAGTGCCTCAATCTGTTGACAGCTCAGGGTTAAGGGCCTTTTTTGCACTCTCACTTCCCCTGGCACTGCGTGACTGGGCCTCCGCAATCTTTTGTGTCCCTGCAACGTTATGTAAGCCGTGTAGGCTGAACAGATAGACAGCGAACAGAAGACCAGCCTGTGGAGCTGAAGGGACTGCACTGTTTAGAGGCTTGTCCAACTGGACTGAGTACAGCAGTGCACTGATGGGGCCACTGAGGAGAATTCAACTAGGGTGGGAAATTACCACCAGTCTCCAGGCATCAGCAAATGAGGGCAAATCTGGCTTTTAGCCACCCTTTGAATTAGAAATCTAAAAATTAAAGTGGGTTAAAGTTGGCCAGGAAGATTTAACTTTGGAGCTCTGGAACAATACGGTAAAGGTCATAGATGAGCAACAAACGGGGTTATCGGACGAGAGGAAGGAGCGGAAGTAAGTGAACGAGCTGGCGACACGTAAGAGGAAGCAGAGGAGTGAGAATGAGGGGTGAAGTAAAACTAAAGCATTCCTCCTGCTGACCACGCAAATTTAGTTCACTTATAAATAACATCTGATATTTAATTAAATAGAAACCTGCTTAAACTGCAAACCAGAGTTACTCATTCTGTATGCGTCTGCT